AAGCAAATTATGGTTATAATCATTCAACTAATAATTATTAGTTCTACCCTCAATTTCAATGGCATTACAAAACTGTAACTTCCAGTTCTAGTTATTTAAATCATTTATAATCTCCTGGTGAACTTGCATAGCATAAGGATCTGCTCACCCTGCGTAGAAGGAGACTCATTATCCCCAGTGCATTAAGTGTGACATGGAAAAAGTGCATCAGATTAAATTGTTTGATGCAACCAGTGTGACCCAGGCTTAAATCATTTTGTTATACTTATTTAACCCTTGACTTCCCTTGTAGTGTGTCTCCAGCATGTAGAGGACACCCCAGAGACGCTGCTTTGTTTTGATGAAGGCAGGATGTGATCATTTTAGAAACAGGGATACCAGACACAGGGTTCTGAATGGTGCGGAGACCTTGCAGAATTTATTACTTTTCGCTGCCTTTCTTCTGCAACTTTACAGACAGTGAAAGCAAATTGTCTTTAGAACATTTAATTTATTTGCTTAATATATTATTGTATTTTGTGTACTGAGCTGCCGGGTTGCTGCTTACTTAATCAGACACAGAGTGTGACTGATTTCAGAGGCTGTGTAATCCAAGGACCCGGTCTACCTGGACTGGGTCCTTCCTGTCCGTGAAAATAGATCCAGATCCAGCCTTCTCCGGCTTTCACATCCCATCATAACCAAACTTCTACCAAACTGTTCTGGCTGCTAATAACATTTTCACTGAGCTCCAGCAGCAGTACCGTCGTCACGAATATCAGTTCAGTTTAATATAATATTATATTAAACTGAACTTCCAATATTCACCACTCGACGGCATCATTTCCCTTTTTCCTCTGAGCACGGAGCAGCCAGCCTGCTTGGACTTGCAATGAATCATGGGATACCTAAGACTATGGAGGATACACCAGATCCGTCCTTCAAAACGGGCAAAAAGAAGGCTGCATTTGTCAGACATAACAAGGATTCTTCCAATCTGAGCAGGCCTTGGTGCCGCGCTACGTTGCCATCGGCCGATGAATCTGGTCTTCGGAGGAAAGAGTGACTGAATTCAAACTCATCAAAATAAAGCAAACTGTGAGGAATATGGCAGATTCCTGGGAAAATAAACCTGAGCTATGGTGTCGCACATGACAGACATGTCAGAATCCACATTACCACAACAGAACAACAGTGCCCTCTTCTGGTACATTATGTCACAACCTTACATCTACCTTTCCTTTATTTGATGGTGCCCCAGCCGTGAAACTAAACAGAAGGCAACTAAGGAAGTTCTCAACAGTCCTAAAACCAAAATATCAGATTTATTTTAACAACCTGTATGTCTTGAATGTACTGTTTTTGTTACTTATTATTGATATGATAGCTATTTGATCCTGGGTATTTTTCTTACGATCTAAATCTGTCCAGTCAATCTGGCCCGCCAGGCAGTGCATGAGCAACTTCTCTACACTCTGTACACAAACCCCAGCCATCCACTCTCAGCTAGCTTGTTTTCTTTCCCAATTCGAGTTCAGTTTTCTTTGTGTTGTCCACATCTTTAGCTTTCTGCAGGTCTTCCCCAAACTTGTCTGACTTCCAAATCTGACTCTTCCTCCATAGCTGCCAGTCCACTTAACATGCCCTGGGTGAGACTGTTTCTGTGGACCCCTCTCTCTGGACCACCACCCTCCGGTTGTACCATGTATATTGGTAAATCTGGTTGTCCCCAAGCTTCTGTCGTCCCTCAACATGACATATTTTGACCAGCCCTTTGTCCTCTGGGTTGAAAACATGACACTTTTTTCATTGTACTTATTTTATTTTTTTCTTGGCCTTCCTAGGAGTTCTCAAATAAAATAAACAAAATAAACGATGAAACCACAGAAGTGGGAAAAGTTATTTACTAATGCCTGCTAGCTTTAAATCAATAGACTACAGGGTAATGCTGTATATTTTAAATCAAAGGCATCTATCTTGAATAATCTAAAGGGTCAAATTTAGCAATCAATGAGGAAAAACAGGTTGGTGAAATCCTTTATATAAAATTCTGAAAACCAACCTCTCAGAGTCTGTGGAAGTTTGTTGGACCCAGATACAGAGGTGGAGGTAGAGCGTGGAGTACTGTGTCACTAAATACTGACACCTGCTGGACTTTTATAATCACTGCAGGCAGCCTGTTTGATGGCCTAATCTGACACTGATCTGCTGACCTAGTAAAATATAATGATTTAGGTCATTGTATGTCTTATTGTTTTATTTTATACTTTTCTTTAAATTGAATATCTTTTATATTTTCAGATGCAGTCAGTAAATAATGTGAACATATATCACAACTTGAAAATTGAAGTGAAAATGTGAATGAGGAAGCTTGTGGACTGGGATTTAAAAAAATATTGAAAACAACAAGTACAGTAAGAACAATAAAGTAAGAGTCAATTTGAAATTAATTCAAAATTATAAAAGTCGAGTGATAACTGAGAGAAACAGGATCACACAAGGAAATTAAAACAAATATGAGATCAAAATGGTCCAACACGGCTGAAACCTTTCTTTAGCCTTGAGGCTGCTCCATATGCCTTGATGAATTTGATGATGAAACTTGAAAAATAAAATATTCTTTTGGCAGATGCATCCGGTGAACCGATACGCCTGTACACACAGTTTGTCACATCAGAGTCCATCAATCCATCTACAGGTGGGAGGTTGACCATCTGGTGACCTGGTGCAGGGAAAACAACTGTCAGGTCTAAGCACCTAAAACATCATACATACATACATACATACAGGGAAAGAAAAAGGCACAGAGACAATTAATTTAGTTTTACTCGTGAGGAGAGTAGGAAGAGAACATGCAGGTACATCTCCACCCCACTCTGCCAGTCTTCAGCTTTCTCCTCGCTATTTATTAAAGGAATAGGAAACAAGAAGCAGCCTCAGTGAACAGGTCAATTTGCATTTAAATGTCTTGCGGTCAAATGGTCCGAGAACCTCCTGGTTTCGTTAAGCTTGAGCAATACTTCCTGATAGTTGACCCCTACTGCTTGTGCAACACCTCTCTAGAACAGTAATATGTCACACATTATACATCATAAGAAAAAACATTAACTATCTTATACATAATTATTCCATCAACAACCTAGAGCTCAATGCTCTAGAAACACTGGAGATGGTTTTGGACTTCAGGAAGAACTCAGTCCATCTATCACCATCACCCTCTGTGACTCACAACGGACACTTGAAACTTCCTGGGAACTATCATCTCACAGGAGCTAAAGTTGGAGCTAAACATAAACTCCCTCACCAAGAAAGCCCAGCAGAGGAAGTACTTCCTGCTGCAGCTGAGAGAATTGACCCTTCCAAGGACAATGATGGTGCACTTCTACTCCTCCATCATTGAGTGCATCCTCACCTCCTCCATCATCATCTTCTGGTCTGGTGCCACCGCAAAGGAAAAGGGCAGGCTGCAGCACGTCATCACCTGCTCTGGGAAGATTATGGCTGATTAGATAGATAGATAGATAGATAGATAGATAGATAGATAGATAGATAGATAGATAGATAGATAGATAGATAGATAGATAGATAGATAGATAGATAGATAGATAGATAGATAGATAGATAGATAGATAGATAGATAGATAGATAGATAGATAGATAGATAGATAGATAGATTATATATTGGCCACAAGGTGGCGCCACATTCCAATCATTGAACCCAAGCTGTTCTTACCTTGACACCAAATAATTAAATGCATGTTTTTAAATCACTCATTTTTATTTTCTCAGTGTTTTCGTTTCATTTTTACCATTTTTATGATTCAATAATTCTTCCTAGATTTTCCTAAACTTTCCCACTGAGTCTGCTGGTCACATGACCCACTTAGGGAAATCTGATTGGCCCAAAGGTTGAAACTCTGCTTCTACCTGCAGCTGCATCTCAGAGGTGTTTTATTATGACCCACATCATAGAAACTTTACGATGTTTTATTTCTAAACTATTCTGCCTTTTACTTCACTGGTTTGACTTCATTAATTGATAATGTCTGGAAAATCAGCAATATTTGGTCGTTTTATTTTTCATCTTATAAATTACTTTACTTGATAATTTCTCTTTTTTCTATTATTTCTATTTTTATGTAATTTGACACATTTTTGTTACTATTCTCCACCATTTTTTATGTTTTTAATAGTCTTTTTTCAGCCCATATCTTAAGTAAATTAATTACTTTGCTTCTGTTTTATGCTCTGTATTATTTATTTAATTTGTTTATGTTTATTTAACTTTTTACTTCATTGTTTTATTTCTCATTTGAACTTATTATCTTACTGTTTTTGCAGTTGTGTTATTTTGTATATATATATTTTTTTATTATTAAATTCAATATTGTTTTTATATCCGTGTTGTTTTTAAAATGTCTGTTTAGATTTAAATTATTTATTAGTCAATTTCTGCATCTTCATGCTGATATTATTATGTCAGATACTTTATCTTTTATTTATTCACTGAATAATTTAATGCAGAGCTTTTATCTGGCCAGTTTGTTTTGATTGAACTTTTCTTTCCTCACATCATCAAACACATTTCTCTAATAAATCTCTCCATAGATCCAAACTTCTATCCAGATAGATAATTTCTGTATCAAAGTTTTCACTCCAGCCTCTAGAGGAACCAACCCTCCCTCCTGTTTCAGGATATTTTTAGGAATGGAAACTTTTCTTTTTCTTCTTCTAATGATCTCCCAGCCCTCCACCTTCAGTCTGACCTGATTTATAACTCGTGTCACCCTCGGCTCAGATCCGTTGAGGTTTGCAGCAGAATGAATCACCTGCTGTAATTAAAGTATGTCCCAAACAGACAGGTTTGTTATTGTTGTTATTCTAACCTCAGACATGTTTAAACCCTCTCACTCACTGAGGAGAACCTCAGATCAGGAATAACCTGACAGAGGAGCTCAGTGGTTGCTTTTCCCAGGAACCCCAGACTGTGCTTCTAACAGCCTGCTGGATTCACGCCCATCCGTGCGCGCGCACGCTTCCAGAGAAAAGCGCACGCGCTCCAAACGCGCCTCAGACGGAGCGCTGGGAGCGGCTGCAGCTGGACCGACTCCTGCCTGCATGGATGAAGGAGCTGCGCGGAGATAAGGCTGTGTGAAGATGAACGGTGAGTGACCCTTCAAACATTTATTCCTCAGGAACAACAGACCAGATTGAAGCACAGAAAGAGGCTCAGATTAATAATCTGAAGTTAGAGATGAACCCAAAGCTGCTGCAGCAGCAGGAGCTGCAAACATCCATGACTTCAGCTGGAAAGCAAATATTTAGCTTCTAATTAACTAGAGAAATTAATCATTGCTGTAAAAATCAGTGGAAAAATTAGAATATAGATGGAGAATATTATTGATAACAATAACAGATTAAGCAGAACTGGAAACACTGGTTTATATGTAAACATTTCTGTTTCATTCTCATTAAAACGACAAATAATGAAGGTTCAGAGGGAAATTACTTTTTTAACTTGAAATAAATGAAGATTTTTAAAACAGGAAAAATCTTCAGAAAGTCAAGTCTTTCCAAGCTGTCAGCAATTTCCCAAGAAATAAGTAAGATTTTAAAGAAATGTAAAGATCTTTTTAAAATAATTAGTTTAACCCTTTATAGGGCAAGTTAGCGTCTTTTAATCCCTCAGTGAGGTCTAGAAGCACAAGATCTAGCCATCCAGCATAGATCCTGCTACATGGCTGTTCATCTTATTTTGGCATCTGAGCAATTAGATGAGCCCTTCAATGATATATTACCTACTGGAAATTAAGTTGGAAAAAAAAGTTAACAAGAAGAAAAAAAGGTAAAGTTAATTGAAAATATCAAAAAGTTAAGTTAAGACAATTATATTTAGGTTTATAAACTAAAAAACATCAGTGCCAGTATCAGCATTAATGCCTCTAAGGTTATGTTGGATCGGGGAAAAAATGTGTTTCTTTCACTCTCAGAGTGTTTTTCATGAATTTCTTATAGAATCAATTTTGTTATTTTTCTTAATATAATCGGGCAAGTTGCCTTTCATTAATATTTCCAATCAAAATATCCATATGTTTTTAATGTTACAAAGGTAATAATGTCTTGTCCTGCATTCCAATAACACTATTGGCTTAAAATTGAGATTTTCATATGATTTCACTGGGCGCCCTATAAAGGGTTGATAAATCTGGTTTAATTAAACGAGATAATTTTTCTGCCCTGCGCCGCTGGGACAGTCAGTCACGGGTCAACACTGCGTCCAAGGAACATTTACACAGAGCTGAGAGCAAGGTCAGAGGTCACATTGAGCCTGCATCAGCCCCAGAGGGAGATATTACCCCCCCCCCCATCCCCCAAACGGTCACTGAAGGACTCATTAACTGCTTTATGCTCCAACAGATTCCTGTCTGAAAGAAAACTGTTTAGCATAAAAACCGAAGCTGGTGTCCGAACACAAACGGGCCACAGAGCCCCGACACTCATTTCCATTTTATGATCCAACAGATAAAACCGTCAGCATGATCATTCAAATCCAGGCCCCAGAATAAACAGTTTTTCTCTCAGGTGATAAGAGCTGCGTTGTTCCAACGCTCCGAGCTGTTCGCTGCTTACATAACGCCAAACTTTCACAGCGTCTCCCAGACACCAGCCTCTGCTTCCTGCTTCAGGTTTCACAGTGCGGATTCAGATCCCTTATCGTGGAAACCGATCAGAACTGCTTTGGCCTGCGTCCTTGTTTGGATGCAGGCATGTCAGAGCCTGGCCAGAACCGCGGCCTGCACGGCCCCTGCACACCGCTTATTCTGCAGATAAACATTCGCAGTGAAAGGGAAATGCTTTAATTTCCTTGAGGGCAGCATTGTTTACCGAGGTGGAGCTGAAGAAGCACCCTTTGTTCAAATGGAAGACATATTTTTACTTTCAGAATATCCCTGTGACTCTTTAACAGCATCAAATCAAGTTTTAGATAATCAGGTTCTATTATTAGCAGTAAAACAGGCGGAAAACTGCTAACCTGAGGCCTGCATGGAGATACAAGCAAATCATTCTCTACTGCTTAGACAATAGGACACATAAAACAGGCTAACACAAAGAATCTATGCATAATAATTTAACATTTAAGCTGAAATATTTACTCCCTTTGGTTTCAAAAGCCTTAGAAATGCTGGTTTTGATTCCTTTCAGGCTAACAGGTGTCAGGAAGTTTGTTTCTCATCTGTTTCTTAGCTCCATCGGGTAAATCCCCTGTCACACCAAGACGATTTAGACCAGCATATGCCTGATGTGTGAAAAACCTGGCAAAATGCTGGCATACGCTGAAAATAAGTTATGGGTACGTTTTGTATAAGTTTTGAGCATGCGTAAAATTTCCCTCTATATGCCAGCGTCTGCCATACGTGGGCCATCAGTTCCAGGTCAGCTATCTGATGGTTGACATGCTTTAAGTGTTCCTCATCAGTCGTAGCATCTAGCTTATCCTAAACCTCTGAGAAACTTGTTCATAACTTCTGCGTAACTTATCCAGAACTTCTCTCCAACGCATATCAAGGTATCTGACGTGTTCCAGACGAGCGCTGAACGTGTTTCTAACTTCCAGCTACTGTATAATGGCGTATTGGCAGCGTTTTGGTATAAAGGACGTTCCAAAAAAGTTCAAAAACAATCCACTGGACTTTGTTTCCAAGTTTCAGAATCAGAAATACTTTAATAATCGCAGAGGGAAATTACTTTTGTTACATGCTCCAGTTACAGTTTTATATAATATATACACACATCCAACTATACAATATAATAAAGATAAAAAAAATAAGAATAAAAAGAGATAAAATATATACACATATAGCTCTTCTGTATATATATCTGTACGTATATCTATACATATGTAAAAACGAAATCCAAATAAAGGGAAAATCCAAGTACAGTGATAAATCCAAGTAAAGTGAAAATGACCTTAGGCCTGAAGTTCCTGGTTAAGTTAATCTAAATATTGACATTTCTAACTTGATTTATGTGTCAGAACACTGTAAACATGAAGCATCTCTGGGGAACGAATCTTGGAAAATGCAAGGGTGAGTCAGAAAACAGTTATTAAGAATGAAGGAGCAAAAACTTAAATGCTAATTTGAAAAGAAAGGTTGGACTTACAGAAAGTCTGGATGGATATAATGAATAAGAAGCTGTTTCTATTATAGAGGAGACTGAGTGAGGAAGGATAAGCAGTGAGAACTGAAATGTTTGGATGTTGCTGAAATGATGCTGTGGGATGTTTAACATGTTTCACTCCTTTTGTTTGTAGAACGGCTGTTGGCAGCGACCACCAGCGCCTCAGCCAGCAACAACACCGAGGCAAACATGGAGGCAGCGTCTTGTTCCCACATCGATGACACGTTCAAATACAACGCCTATATCTTCACATACGTGCTGGTGTTCCCCGTGGCGTTCCTCTGCAACGTCTTGGCGCTGTTGGTGTTCTTCAAACAGAAAAAGCGCAGGTTTGAAACTGAGTACACACGTTTAACTTCCTGTTGTTTCTTTATATGATTGATTTTTTATTTTCATTGTGCCTCTCAATTGTAAGTCAATATGTTCTGTTCATTGCAGTTTGGAAAATTAGGGAATCAACGACTTAAACTCTCCAAACCTCTGAACCGTTTTATGGCTTGTTAAAAATGTAAACAAACCAAAACTCTCTTGTTCAATTATATTCAATTCAAAAATACCTTATAAAACCAGAAAAAATACCTTATAAAACCTGAAGGGAAATTAAATGTTGCAGTAATAAAAGTTTTTAGCCAGTTGTTGTAGGTGTTGATGCTGCAGGCAGGAAGGATCTTCTACATTTGCCTTACTTACCGAAGACACTTTGCTGTTGTTTAACAATATTCTTAAGAGGATGCTCACTTTTGTCCATAAGTTTCTTCATTTTATGAAGGATTCTTCTTTCTTCAATCATTTCGAGAGGTTCTTTCCTCCTCTAAATGTTTCAGTCTATCTCTATCGTATGGTCAGAAAGCCAGGCATGAGTCTGGGATATGATCCTGCAGCCACGTTTTAAGTAAAACACATAATGCTGCATAGCCGATATTCTGGCTGGGTCGTTGCGAGGGGAGTTCTTCTAATTTGTTGCCTAAAGATCTCACATTGCCCATGAAGACTGATTGAAGATTACATTTCTTCTTCCTCTCTTGTTTCCTCGCTCCTGCTCTGCACCCCCCATACCCCCTCAGTTGGTAATTATGGAAGTAGTTGGTTATTTCAGCTTTAGGGATGTTTATGAGCTGCTCCCGGGTGTAAAAAATTAACTTGCCATGGTTGCTGTGGTTACGTATCATAACCAGTATCCGAAAATGAAAAAAAAAGCAGCAAAAGTCCTTCCAGTTTCACAGCATTCAACAAAAGAGGCAAAAAAAAAGAAACTGATCCAAAATCAGAGGAACTAAAGTTCTCGTAATAAGAATATCAGGGTCGAGCTAGCAGAGCTAATCCAACATGCAGCCACCTTAAGCTGCACAATTCAAATTTACTGATTAGAAGTAAACAGAATCACCAAAATATACTATGCAAACTACTGTGGAAGGGTTTAAAGATATTTGTAAAAGTTATCAAGATTCAAAACTGATCAAGATCAACATGATGAATGAATTGTTCTTCAACAGAAGCAATCAGCCTTGAACCTTGTAGCCAGCTGGTAATATAGCCTTACGAAAATATATGGCATTATCACCATTAGCCCGAGGACTGTTTGGCTCTGTGATTCTGTGACTCTATTACCCTATGTTTCCATACACCTGTGATCCATCAACTGTTTGACTCTGTGACTGTTTAACCAAACAACTCTATGGCTACTTTCACACTGCAGACAAGAGACTCAGGTGAGATTCTTTCCTGACAGTTTGAAGAGGCCAGATCACCACATCTGGGCCATATCCGTGTGTGGTTTTAAATCCGATACAGTTCAGATCGCTTGGAATCTGACTCCCGTCTGAACAGTCAAGTGACCCGTATTAGAATTAGTATGATGATAAATGATGGTGTCGCTCTGTACTGACAGCGTAGGGAGGAAAATAATTACAGCAGACCAACCATGAAGGACAGCCTAGACGGAGAGGAAAGTGGAGGGACAACCAACTTTTGGAAGTATTTGGGTGGATACAATGATCAGTGGCACCTCCAGAAATGTTTCATACGGAGGGCCAGAAGGGGCCACTTAAAATCTTGATGTGGCCACTGAAACCAAAAGCCATCATTTCAGGGTTTGAATCTATTGTGGTAAATGCGCCGGTAGAAATCATAAAGACCAAACACCTATTCATTTCTCGGTGTTTCGTGATTTTTAATGTTAACTGGCTATGCATAACTGGATAAAATGCTAAACTGATATTACTACACTTTACACTGGCGAGTGGGGTGGCCAGTAGGGTGGTCAGTGGGGTGGCCAGTAGGGTGGCCAGTGGGGTGGCCAGTGGGGTGGTCAGTGGGGTGGTCAGTGGGGTGGTCAGTAGGGTGGCCAGTGGGGTGGTCAGTAGGGTGGCCAGTGGGGTGGTCAGTAGGGTGGTCAGTGGGGTGGCCAGTAGGGTGGCCAGTGGGGTGGCCAGTGGGGTGGTCAGTGGGGTGGTCAGTGGGGTGGTCAGTAGGGTGGCCAGTGGGGTGGTCAGTAGGGTGGTCAGTGGGGTGGCCAGTAGAGTGGCCAGTGGGGTGGCCAGTGGGGTGGCCAGTAGGGTGGTCAGTGGGGTGGCCAGTAGGGTGGCCAGTGGGGTGGCCAGTGGGGTGGTCAGTGGGGTGGTCAGTGGGGTGGTCAGTAGGGTGGCCAGTGGGGTGGTCAGTGGGGTGGTCAGTGGGGTGGTCAGTAGGGTGGCCAGTGGGGTGGCCAGTGGGGTGGCCAGGGTATTGCACACAGGTTAGAGAGCAGAACCAAACTGAACAGGCGAGACTCTACTTTTGCAGAGATGTTTCTCCAAACTGGGAGGTCTTCTGTTCAAATTAGAATCTTGCAGCAGGTCCTTTGGCATTTCCTTAGATAAAGGAGGATGATGATTTTCTCCATCATAGTTAAGAGATTTCCTGTGGGTTTTGTGGAACTGCAGACCTGGAAAATAAAGTTTGTTTCAGTGTTAATTGTTCTGTCCATGTGTATATGCATTAAAAATGTAAAAGCAGCAAACAAACGGTGTCCAAATCTCCATTTTGACCTCAAATAAAATTGACAAATTAAGCAGCATATCTAGGTTACCTAGCTTATTCAAGAGCTCTATATTTTCCCTGTGATTTGTTTCACTTTTGAATCAATCTTTGATAATGCCAATAGTAACACACCCCGATCTTGATTGACATTTTGAAGTAAAGAAACCAGAACGTATAAATTAGCCAGCTTTGCAGTGTAATTTGTTTAGCATTTATGTATCTCTTTTCAGTTGTTGCACCTTGTTTTAACAACCACCTGTTTAATTACAGAGAAGGTGGAGGAATGTCACGCTTGATATAAAGGTGTTACTCCCTGTTCTTCTGCCAATGTTTAAGTCTACCATCGCATTGTAACTGACTTGACACAGACTTTGCAGAGCTTTCTACCCCACAAAACCAGGAATGAACATGGCTCCCCTTATCCACTTAGCCCCCCCTACCCTTTTACTTTCTTTTAAATGTTGTTATTGTTTGGTATTAGTGTCGTTGGAGGCCTGTGATGAGCTACACTGTTGGAATCTCTGGCATGTGGGTGGTGTCATTAGTGCATCAGATAATTATCAACAAAAGTTATGCTTTGTTCAGTTGAAGAGTTTAACATGTTTGCATAACATGTGCCAATAAATGTAACACATATACTTTATCAGCTCCACCCAGTTAAAATGAATAGCCATTCATTGTCAGATTTTAACTGTCATTTACTCAACCGACAGTTGATTCTCAGGCTGACCCAGAGAATAGACTTTCACAAGATTGTTTCGCAGTTGATTTATGAACTTTAAAAACTCTTTAGTGTTTGATGGTTGAAGGTCTGAAGCATTTCTGCAACCCCTCTAGGAGTCGCAACCTCAATACCGAAGACCTCTGCCCTAAAGAGTTTAAGCCCAGGTGGGACATATACTCTATCGGGTATAGGTTTAAGGGATTGCATGAAGGCTGCAACTATTCTCTGCAAACAAATTGCCCTTTGCAGCCCTGATAAGGTAGAGTCTAAAGCAGGCATCCCCAAAGTCGGTCCTCGAGGGCCGCTGTCCTGCAGGTTTTAGAGGTTTCCCTGCTTTAGCACAACTGATTATGATGATTTCAGTTGAGCAAAAGCCTGTTAATCAGCTTTTAATTAAAATCAGCTTTGCTGGAGCAAGGAAACCTCTAAAACCTGTAGGATCCTAGCGGACCAACTTTGTAGATGCCTGGTCTAAAGCATTTCTAATCTAGACTTGGTGTTGGATGAAGAATACCTTATTTGGTTCTCCTTCATTTGTTTAACATGCAGGGAAACAAGCAGGAAATAAAACCACAGACTTCATTACAAAACATGATCAGAATGCTGATAACTACCTTGCTGTGCACAGATGCGTGCAGGTTTGTTGACAATGAGAGCCCTGTTAGAGTCAGATCAAATGTTTAAAGAGGACTCAATGTAAACATGGAAGGAAATTGAACCCATAACTGATATTTGAATCCACTTCTAGCAGCCTAAAATAGCTTAAACCACAAAGGACTCTAAATAGATAGAAAATACAATTAAGCTTTATTTCTATTTGATTAAAAAAAACACTATTTGCTTTTCTCTGCTGGGCAAAGGTCCATCTTTATATTTCTCATTTTATATTTTCTTACTAAGCAGTCAGACCTTATTGGTAACTGAATGGGTTTTGACCTGGACCTTCAGGATTTCCTTAACAGCTCCATTGGTGACACTAATGACTGCTAAGGTTATACGTCCAATTCATGTCCAGCACTGAAAACATTTTTAGAGTAAATATGAAACATTTCTTAGAAACATCAGAAGTATCCTGCTAATTAAATAATTCAGACCGCTGCATGTAGGATGTAGGAGAGTTTAATCTATCAAGTCATTAGCAGGACTCTGGGGACCTTCACCATATACTAAGGAGGAAGGTCACACATTTGATCCAGGTGTGTGGAAACAGAGACGCATCCAAAACTTTCAGGACACAACTTAATGACTGGAGTTTAAGGCCCCTGGCCTACATTTACACATCCATAGAGTCTCCGTTTGATATTTAGGCTGGTTTTGCACCTGGAGTTTCCTCTTCCAGGTTGGATTTAGCTTAATCTATCTTCCCATTAACTCTGACCACCTTTCTTGATCCTTTGGAAGAGAACTGGAATAAATGTGAGGTTTTTTTTATTACCACACCACATTTATTTATAAAGCACTCTCAATACCCAACAGGACCAAAGCAAAGTGCTATACACAATCTGTCATTAACGTGACTGAAGGACCCAATATTCAAGGCGAGAAAGAGAATGGGAAGTTTCAATACGTTTAATGACAAAAATTATTTAACAGAGAAGAAACGCGGGCTACTCTGCATACAGTAAGCGGAACGCATTGGCTGCAGGTAGGGGGCGGTAGGGCTGGGCGATATAGAAAAAAAGCTTATCGATAAAAAAAAATGCATATTGGTCGATATCGATAATTATTGAAAAGATTTGAAACCATATTTTATGTGCAGCTCTGCCTGGACTTTTTATAATATTGCTAAATGATTGTATTTTAATAAAAAACACTTCGACTTCGAATTAAATCTTTATTTAACCAACTTTTTTAACCATAACAGAATTGTTTTAAAGAAAAATAACTTAAGAGACCTGAGTTATGTTATTAAATACTGACAAAGAATAAACTTAAGTGACCAGAAAAGTGACCAAAATGAATATAACAAATAAATAAATGCCCCCCCACCGCCGCCCCCGTTTCCTGCTTTAACCTGAGTTATTACTTTGAAGTTTCTGGCCCCTCAGCATTTTTCTCTCAATTGTTAGAACTACGTGGGAAACTGCCCAGAACTGAAAATATATATATATTTCCCGAAGATTCCTCGGAGGAGAGCCGCGTCGGGGCCTACACAGCTCGTACTCCTGCGGCTGTGAGCGGCTGAGATGATAAAAAAAAGTTGGTTTCGTTATCAGACTGGTTTTCACTGGTTCCCGACACATTTTCCAGATGACTGTGGTTTGTTTTTGGTCCGACTTGCCATGACCGAAATACTGCCAGACTGCCGAACTACAAAAACCTTTCTTTGAAACAGTTTCCTCCGCCTCTCCTTGCTGCACAGCTTCATGTGCTCTAGTGTTAATTTCGTTAACGAAAACTAAACGAAAATATTTTCGTCAACGCACATTTTTCACCGAACGAAAACTAGACGAGACGAGACGAAAATCCCCACTAATAAACAATAACTGGGAGTAAATCAGAAATAATTTTCGTGGACTAATAAAGACGAGACGAAAATGCAGTTCGGTAAATAAAGACTGGACTAAAATCTATGGACATTTTAGTTCACGAACAAAGACGAGACGAAAATTATATATTATTATTTTATGTTTTTTTCAAATCCTGTCTCGTCTCCTCCTCCGCCTCCTCCTCGTCAGCTCCCACACACCCACTTTCAAACCTGGAGCGGGCACAGAGTAGCCTACTCTGGGGCTCGGGAGAAAGAGGAGACGTGATCTATGGACACATTTTCGCTTCATTGAAGTGGAGAACAAAACCAAATGCTTGATTTTAGTGGAAGGGAAGGAATATGGCCACATGATAGCTGGAAAAACACAACCTGAAGAGACACGTCTCAGTTCACCACAAAGACATTACGGTAAGTTAACAGAAAGATTGGTGGTGGTTGTTTATAATGTAACATTAAATCAACTGCTATAATGTCCTAATGATAAACTAACTAATGTTGGCTAACTTTCATAGTATTTAGTATCCAGGCTGGCTACGTTACGTTAGCTTGTTAGCACGTAGCGACCGTAGCCACTTGTTGATAGCATTGTATGTAAAGTTAAATTGATGCTAACTTAGATATGTTATACTGGCCGGGCAACTATAGTTTCTGTTAAATTGCAAGTTTGATTAAAGCAGACAGACGTTTTAGGTAATCTAGGAGCAGCAAGTGAACTACAGCTAACACAAAACACCTCGGCAGCTACACATGTATGCTAAATGCTAAAACGAACTGAAACTATTTATCAGGATAAGACAAAATAAAAATAATATGCCACACATAATTCAGAGCAACTTTAACCTAGATTTTCATATACAAAATAGTCATTGCTAGGGGAACCACTGCAGGGATGTCTTTATTTGGTGACATAAAATGCTGCTCTGTTTATCTGCATATTACTATTACAAGGACATTTGATTTGAATTGGCATCAATATTAATACAACCAAAATGCTTGCACACCTAACAATGTCTGCAATTTATTCCTGCATAAAATGATAGTTAGGTTGTTTGTATGAGTTTGAAACGGATGGTCAAATGTAGTTTTTACAGAGACTTAGTTTTTGTTAAGGAAAAAAACAGACCTATATGCTACTTATACACTTGGAATTCCTGTTATGCTGTGCATCTATCCTAACATTGTATTCATTTCTGTTCCAGATTAAAGATACACCACCACCAACAACAACCTACCAGCCACCCAGAAACAATGACAGGCCAGCTAAAGCTGGAAGGAAAGCACTTTTGTTGTATCAGTTGGAGTTTTTTTTTTTTTTTTTTTTTACAACATTGACCTCAAATCTATTTATTTTATTATTCTATGTGAACTAGCTTTAAACAGCCAGCACTTGTGTAAAGTTCATAAGACACTTTATTTTATTTATTTGTTTCTTTTGCCAGGTGTGTTTTATTTGTTTTAATGCAAGCATTTGTGTTTGTGTCTTTGAACCTTAACAATGTTCAAAATAAATATGCAAATATTGTCAGAACATCTTCAATGTCTGCATGTGTTCCTTAAAATTGTGTTTTTTATCAAAAAGATGAGAGAAAATGTTGAAATAATTTTAGGAAATCTTAAACGTTATTCTGCTGACAAAAAAGTAAAAGGTTAAAATTATGTCCTGACTAAAACTAGACTAAAATGTTGACAGTTTTTGTTGACTAAAACTAAACTAATAAAATTATGTTTTCTTGGACTAAAATAAAGACTAAAATGCTCGACTTATAGTCGACTAAAACTAGACTAAATAAAAATGCGATGATGTTGACTAAATGTGATAAAAACTAACAAACGATGCTGAAACTGGACTAAGACTAAAACTAAATTTAAAAATGGCTGCTAAAATTAACACTAATGTGCTCTGTGTTGAGGTTTGAGAGGGCGGCGCTTGGTGACGTCGTGCCTGGGTCCGCGATTGTGATTGGTTGGGAGGAAGCAGTGACTAGCATAAACCTACATGCTAGGCTACAATGAGAAGGAAGGAAAACTGCGTTTCTTTTTTATCGAACTTTTATCGACCCTCTTTTTTTCTATTGCGCCACACGTCTATCGATCGATATATATCGTTATTGAATTATCGCCCAGCCCTAGGGGGCGGGCACCGATGATTATCCAAGTCAGTCATTTACCTGGTTTAACAGTTCAGTCCATCCTCTCTGAGGAAGCCAGAATCCAGTTGATGGACTGCCAAACGAGATGTGGCTCAGAGCAGTCCAGAGTGTCCCCGGTGAAGCAACCTCAGTGGGCAGACAGGAATCCGATTCAGGTCAAGGATACAGATCAGACAGGAACAGTTCTGGAATCAAGGAGTCTGTAGCCCAGCTGGAGGTTCCGATCCAAAGAATCCACAGAGCATGAAGGCAGGTTCAGAGTACAAGTCCAGCAGCAAGCTCAGACAGACACGCTCAGATGGAGACCGGCAGGCTCAGTGGTTGAGGGACAGAGACAAGACATGGTACCAGGAGAAATTGCAGAAACTTTAAACTGGTCTCCACCTTGGAGCCAGGCTTACAAGACTAAAACTGAACTCCCCCACGTTCTGAGCCAAAACCCTGAGGGCTCAGTGGAGAAGAGCAGGGACACAATCAGGAGACAAACACCAAACCCTCTCAATCCACTGACCTATGGGGACGGGAACATGAACCAGGGACTTAACTAAAACTCATGAAAAGAAACATGAGTTACTGACACAAAAACATAACACCAATAAACTAAGAATACACAAATAATGATCTGGCCCTGGCTGAACTGCATATGTAGCAGAGGGAGCAGGTGAATAAGATGAACGATAATTAGAGAGCGGGAATGGAACGGCAGGTGAATAAAGTGAGTTATCAAATCAGTTACCGGGGCTACGTTCATGACACAATCATAAAATTAATAAATAAAGTGCTATATAAAAGTAGTAACAAAGTTAAAGGTAGTAATAAAATAATAAAAGAAACACAGTAAGAATAATCAACATTTCAGATTGTGTTAAAAGCCAGGGAAAAGAAATCAGCCATAAGAAGAGATTTAAAATTAGCAAGTGAAGAAGCCTGTCTAATGGTAGAACACCTTGTACCACACGGTAACTAAAGTATGTTTCCTCCATTGCTTCAGAAGTTCTTCCAAGATTACTTTGGATATTGTTTGTTTTTGAATTCTTCCTTAAAGGTAGGAGTTCTTGTGGAAAAGGGCAATGGAATGATCTTCCCAGGTTCTCCCAAACAAGCCATGGATCTCTCCAGCTCCCCTAGAGTAACCTTGGTCCTCTTGGCAGCTGCTTTGACTAATGTGGAACTTGTTCCTGCAGAGACAGTTGTCTCTGCAAAGTGCCTTGAGATGAAATGATGAAATGTACACAAGGAAGACAAAGTGGATAGTAGTGGATGTTCGGTGCGACTAAAGGAAAAGATATTGTGAATTCCTGCATGGTCAGTAAATCAATCAGTGAGCCAATCATCCAATCAATCAACCAACCAAACAACCAATTAACCAACCGACCAATGAATCATTCAATCCATCAATCAAGCCAACTAGTCGACCATTTTAGGCATATAAATGGTCCACAGTAAACATTTGTTAACCAGGACCTAGTTTATATCATGTGTTTCAGGTTACCTCTGAATCAACAGTTTTTTCTAGAGTTTAAGTATCTAGTTCTGATGGTTGGTTGTTCGTCTCTAACTGTGTTTTTCTTTACATCCACAGAGGTAAGCCCGCCTACATCATCATGGTGAACCTGGCCTTCTCAGACGGAAGCTTCTCCCTCACCCTCCCTCTGCGCCTGGCGTATTACATGAACAAGGGAAAGTGGTTCTTTCCTGATTGGATCTGCAGACTCTGTGTCTTTGGTTTCTATGTCAATCTGTACTCTAGGTATGACAGACACAAACATGATACTTTTGCCTTTGGTTCAGCCAACATTTTAGTCCCTTCATCTGGAGAATTTAAGATATTAATGAGAAACACTTTTAAACTTAGATACATAATGACAGAACTGCTCTGTCTCCTCTTCAGCATCCTGTTGCTCACACTTCTCAGCCTCCTCCGTTGGTTTTCCATTGTGCATCCACTGCGTCATCGCTTTATGGCCAATTCAAGGCCAACCTTGATAACCTGTCTTGGAATCTGGGTGTTTGTGGGCGCATCCTCTCTGCCGTTCCTCAGCAATGGCGTTACTTACAGGTAAGAACTTATAAACTCATGTAGGGCTGCAACAACGAATCGATAAAATCGATAAAAATCGACTTTTAAAAGCGTTGGCAACGAATTTCATCATCGATTAGTTGTGTCGCGCGATTATTGCGTCATCCGCCGCGCCGTCATCACTGCCTCTTGACTGAAAGAGGAAGAAAAAAAAAAAAAAAGGCAGAGCGAGTCAGCGCCGCAGGTGCAGTGTTGCCAACTCAGCGACTTTTCAGACCCCTCCAGCGACTATTTTTTTAAAAAGCGTTCTAGCGACAAATCTGGCGACTTTTTTCGATGTCACTGGCGGCTTTTGGAGACTCTTACGTGAAAGCATGTATCATTCCTACTCTGCCGTGGGGCGCCTCCCCCATCCCAACCGCGTTTTCCCGCAGGAGTCCCTCTCAGCGCTGCAGTCAGCCTCAGCGTCCAGACTGCAAATGAAGCGCGCATGCACCGGGATTGGCAGCGCAAATTGATCACAATAATTAAAATAGCCTGCGCTTTGTAAAGCGAAAAAAGTGATAACATGCAACTTTTTTCAAAAGAAATTAACATGGCACGGAAGCACCATGTTTGTTTGGTTTTAAAGTGGGGAAACGTAACGTTAGTTTCTCAGGTAGCTCATCTGATGCTTTCCTTACCGTGTTAGTAGGTTACAGACAGGGATAAGGTTGGCTACTTATTTAACCTTTAATTTCATTTGAATTAGCTTAAGCAGCGTTTATATTTTCTTTATAAATAAATTAACTTGCAAATTATGAGGGCAAGGCTTTTAAAGTTTAAATCTTCTGGCAAAGTTAAAGTAAAGAAGATCCTGCAATTTATGGAAGTAAAGCAGAATAAAATCCAGCAAGATCAGTAATATGTCAATTAATTATCTGCCACATTCCCATGTAGATATCTGTCTTTGGAGGATGTGTTTTTTAGCACCCCTAGTTCTCTCATTTTTATTCCAAATACAATTTATAATTTGAATCACAGGGCTATTTTTATCTCTATGATTCAGTATTTTCTCAAGCAGCAACTTTAACTGCTATACTTTCCTGTCTTAAAAGGCAGAACTCTTCTAGTCTAAAAAAACTAATTTGTTGAAATGGGGGGGCCTATTGTTTGAACCCCTTAGGGGCTTTTAAAAACAAAAATGTCTTTTTTTGCGCTTTATGAAACAAAGTAGCCTATATTTTGTGGATGTACAGCTACATTTCTCATGTAAGTTTGCGTAGTTTTAACACAAACATTTATTTTTCATATTGCACCAGGACAGTTAATGAGCAACCTGTACTTGTGTGCTTGTTTGTTCTGTCTAAAATGTTTATTTTGGAATAAAGAGGTTAATATAAAAAATATTTTTTGTCCGATTCATCGATTAATCGAAAAAATAATCGTCCGATTCATCGATTTTTAAAATAATCGTTAGTTGCAGCCCTAAACTCATGGTAACATGTTAAGAATAGGCATCAGAGGGAGGTCTGGGTGTTTTAATCAAATCAAAACAGTTAATTGCTGCCAGGGAGGTTCAAGCCGAACCTAGGGCTGCAAAAGTTAAGGATTCTGGCAGAGTGTGTTTATGTTTACCTGTTTTCTTCCAGAGATGGAATACCTCGTTGCTTTGAGCCTTCAAATCCTAAGTCCTGGTCCAAAATTCTCAGCCTGAACTACGTGGGTCTGGTTTTTGGATTTCTGATACCGTTCTTCACCATCATCTTCTGCTGCAGTAAGATCATCCACTGTCTAACATCCTCATCGATCTCTATGGATCCAAAAGCTCGCCGTAAAATTATCAAGAAAAACAAGCGCTCGGTGCGCCTGTTAATCATGGTGATAGCAACCTTCCTGCTCTGCTTCCTGCCTTACCATCTGATCCGAACTCTCCACCTGCATGCCGTGAACGGCAACTGGAACTGCCAAGTCACCACAATTCTCCAGAGAGCCGTGGCGGTGACGCTGTGCTTGGCAGCATCTAACAGCGTGGTCAATCCGATGCTGTATTACTACTCCACCAAGAACTTCAAAGAGGATGTGGGAAACACGCGCTCCCTTTTAAGTAAAAGGTTCTCTTCCATCCGTGGTTCCCAAAGATCCAACGGAAAAGGGTCTGTGAGACGTCAATCCTTGCCGATGAAACCGTCTAATTCTACCAAAGAGGCGGACTATGGCTGTGCAGCCGAGTCGGTCAAAATGAATATTCCTTGTTGCAGACCGGCTGACTCGCCTGTCTGACAGACTTTTGATTTACTATCTTTGACTGAAAACGTTCTTGGGAAGAAGTGCTGAAACTAGAAACTGCTTTTGGAGAGTGAGGTTTATACTGGGAAGGATGGGAAGTGAGTTCAGAAAATCCTCCTGTCACTTTCTGGCTTTTTTGCTAATGTCTAGTTTGATAAAGGTAATTTATGCCACCAGTAAAACTGGGTTCCGATAATCCTGGTTTTTATCCCAGCATTTTTTTTATTGTCGTTACAAGTAATGAGAAACAAAATGATCTCTTTACATTTAAGCCATCGTTGTGCCCTAACCACTAGGCCACCACTCCCCAAAGCAGGCATTATTGTGGAGGGTCTTGTCTCAGGACCCACACTGGTAACTCATTCCCCCCAGCTGGGATACAGGTGACTTACTACTTGAGCAGCCAGCCGCTAAGATATTGCTGGGATCAGTTTAGATTTTACTGGAAGGTGGAAGAAGTTCTGCTTCCTTCTCCGGGAGACATATGAGATGTTTTTCCTCATAGCTGGTTTTGCAACGGTTGGTGTTCAGTCATGTTTCTACAGTAGAAATTCTTCTCCAGCGTGTCTTCTAGTTCTGTAGGTAACAGTGCCCTCTTCAGGATTTTCACTGAACAGCAACCCCCAGACAGGATTAAAGCAGCACCTCATGCCTCTAACACAGACTTATAAGAAAATATTCCCCAGCTGTGGATTCCTCCATATAAATATTTGTGTCAATTTTTGTAATACTTTTTGTAAACATGAAGCCCTCTGAGAAAAGCACTGAAACACTTTTGGGGTCAGATCTGAACATTGGATCCATGTTCTGTTGATCCTCTCTATTTATCCGTATTTAAAAAAAAGAAAGAAAAGTTTTTGATGCAATTTAGTCGCCTAAACAGGAAACATAAATATGAAGGTCCCTCTAGAAGTGTTTTATTCTCTGTGCTCTAATTTCACCGCTGGATGTTTATGTGCCTTTTCTTACATAAATCATTAACGTCCACAAACACTGTCACTGTCTCTGTTTATAGTCGGCCATTAAACAGCTCCTTCTTAAGAAACATCGTTATAAATTTGATGTGACTCAGAAGATGCAGGAATTTATTATCGTCATAGTTCCTCAGTTTACTTGAATCCGATGTAGTTTGGCTCCATTGTTTAAATACAACATCTTCCTGCTAATTCACAGGTCCATCGGCTCACCGTCCTTAGCCAGATAATTATATCTACTTTATAAAAGGAAAGGTGTTTTCCTCTTTATGGTGGACAATAAATCAAACCAGTTAAAATTAAGTTTCGTTTTTTGTTGTTAAAATGTTGAGAAGAAAACTTTAATCTAAATGAGGAGTTTGAAACCTGTTCCCCAGAAAAAGCCCCTCCCTGAGGTCAGATGTTCTTTGCTTCCATCCACAGGTTTAACTGGTGTTTAAACTCCTGACAGAACTGGTTAAACTGGGTTTCCAAGCCGTTTTGGTAAAACACCTTTTCTGCTCCACCCTATCATCTTCACTGTGAAGATCACGCCAAAATGGCAGCCCCAATGCGATGCTAGTTTTTAGCAAACCTTTGAAAAGAAAAAAAGCTAATTAGACGTCTTTCCATGTATTTGAGGGAATTAACAAGGCCATGAAGAGTGTAACGTTGTCATATGATGATGTCATGTTTAGCTGCAACAAACAGGAAGTAACGTTAACAAGTTAGCGCAGACCACAGATCAGCAAAATACCGAGTCTTTGATGAGTGTGTTGGAGTCGCGGAAAGTTTTTTTACGTGATTAGTGATACTTCGGCATTCAGGATTACAGTAAGAAGTGGTTTATGTGTTAGAATGTTAGAATATATGTTAGAATTGATTCCAAAAACACGTTTACATCTCCTCTTCAGCACATTTACGCTTTTTACAAAAAAGTTTAAAAAAAAAAACACCTCAAGCAAACATAAACAAAAAATGTTGTGAAATATGAGGAATTGGTTTCAATTTTGTTGTTTACATCAAGCTCTTCCAAAGTGATACTTAAAATTGCTCAAACAAAAGAGTTGAAGAGAACGTGTCTATGAACAGAAGGTTTGCTGAGGGACATATCCCATTTAGAAGACATGTTTATGTTCAAGTTTCTACTTCCTGACTGATGCTTCCCTCATTAGACAATCTCATTTATGAGGTGCACCAGTCCCTCCTGCAGCAGATTGCCCCCACAGCATCATACTGCCACTGCTGTACTTCATTTGTCATTTCTAAGTCTTATTTAAACATAAAACAATGGAGGAAAAAAAGGAGGAAGACAATAATGAAAAAGAAAAGTCTTTTCATATAGAATTGGAAGAAAAATATCGTATTTAATCCCACTGCTTTGCTGCACAAAAACTAAATATTACTACATAAATATGATCATTAAGCTGGACTGATGTTTTCAGTTTGTAGCCCAACTCATTGTGTCCAAAAACCTAGATTTTAGTCTCACCGACAGCAGGACGTGTCTGCAGACATTAAGGTTTCTATATCTGAGGAAATTTGAAACTGTAATACTGTGAAATGTAATTTACATTAACTGGGCTTGAACAGCATTTTTTCAAGATCTCTGGTATTTTGTTTTTGGTCGATTCCATAATTTTCAAAAGAACCCGTTCATCTGTGGGAGAAAGAACATGTGAACAATGAACCCTCACAGCTCATCTGGATATAAAAACAAGAAGGAACCTGACATATGGAGATCTACTCTTCACTTCCTGATGTGTTTGTTGATTTTCCATCATGTTAAAGAAGGAGATAGTTTAGTTTAAGATCCTGCCTCATGATTCAGATGTTCCTTAATTTAACTTGCATGTTTCCTAATTTCTAAATGGATTACATCATCATCATCATTTTAATCATCCTCATCTTGTTCTCTGTTAAAAGGCACAATCATCTTTAGAGATAGTTTTTTTGTTAATATAAAGCAAATAATCATACATCACTATTCTGCTCTAAAATGTTGATAATTAATAAATATAAAACCTTCATAAATGTTGTGTTTTTACTCTATTTGTCATGATTTTAATCAAGAGCTCGGACCCACATGCAGAGAAACCAATTCAGAGAGACCAGGAGAAAAGGTTTAACAGGTTTATTGAAGAGATAATGCAAAGAGAAGTGTTGCTCTGAACTCTGCTCAACCGGAACTGAAAAATGAGGGGAAGACACAGCAGTTAGTTCAGGCTCAGTGGGAAATTTGATTTGTGAACTTGAAGAGGAGGATTTGGTTGCTGACTCACGTTTCCAGAGAAGTTGTTGACTCTTTGACTCCAGTCTGTATGCTGTAGTTCCAGTGTTTGTCTGAATCGGTGGAGGGCGGAACAGGGTTTACCCAGAATGCGGTTGTTTGTAGGTGAACGGAGAAGCTGACTGCCACTCAGATTTCCTCCGGTACTTGAACGGGTCGTAGTGGAGATGAATCCCTTGCTCAGTGTGAAGCTCAAATGATCTCTTGTGGAAAAGTAGATTCAAGCCTCCAGTTTAAATCCTTAGCTCAGTTTGAAGCTCAGATGATCATTTCAGGGAGAGAAGGTCCGAAACATCCAGTTTGCAGGATGACTTCCTGCCGAGAGGCAAAGACAAAAAACAAGATTAAGACTCAGATTGACAAGAACTCAGTTTGACTCAGCAAAACTCAGCTTGGATAGAGTACCCAAAACTGGCAAACACTCTGGCGTCGAGATAGTGGCAGTCAGCAGCTTAAGAGTGCTCCGTTAACGAGGAAACCCTCTGCAGGTGTATGAGGAGGCGGACCAGAACCAGGCGCCTCCTGGTGGAGGAAGGGAGACAAACACAGAAACACAAACACACAGACAGGAGTCCTGACACTATTATTTATAAAAGAGGAAAACTTGAGCGTAATTTGTTGATAAATTTAGCCAGTTCCGGATTATGCACCCTGCAATTAGATGAATTTCTGATACGGGTTCATAGATCTTTGATACATACCAATGTAAGCAGGTTTGTAATTAACTTTATTTCGCATAACTACTGTATGCAGCTAAGAGTCATTATTAACGGAAAAGTCCGGTCAGCAAGGAATAACCAATGGATCATTAATTATACCTAAAACTAATAGGTTTGCGGTGATTTAATGAATTTAGCGTTAATCAGTAAAAACATTAAAATAATAGTTTTCGTTACGATCACTGAGTCTGGGAGCGGCCATTTTTGCTGCCATTGTGTGGTAAGCCTAGCGCCATTCTCCCCGCTTTCCAAGCTAAATCAATGGGAACTACTAGACACATCTGCAATCAACAACAATTATTGAAGATTTCCAGAGGACTTCACCATTGAAATTCACCAGAGCTATAGTGAAACTGACAATGCCCACATGCATGGCAGCTGGATGCTGGAATACATCGGGTAAAAGTGAAAAAAAAAAGAGTTATTCCACCTTTCTGATTCCTGATCCTCCACGGACGGGTTGGTCGTTGGATCGCCAACTTGAAGAGGGAGGATTCGCCATCGAACTTCTGGCCAGAGAAAAAACCCGTAATATGTAGCCAACATTTGGAAGAAGAATGTTTTCAAGATGACTTGGATAATAGCGCGTTGTGACAAACACCAGATACAGCACTGGGACTTGATCAACAGCCGATACCGCACCGTGACGTCACTAACCAGTAGGTGGCAGTAGTGTTCTTTGACAAACATGGATTCCTCCAGTAAAGCACATTCATATGAATTTACTCTGAATTAAAAAACACTTAGAAACAGAATGTAATAATTTCATATTTAAAGTACTTTCAGAAGTTAAAATTCTGAATATGAGCTGACTTTTCCTTTAAATACCAACACTGTCAATCAGAGCCTTTTAAAAGAACTCCCACTGCACAGAGGGGGGTTAGATCTGGGACTGGCATGAAGACACATTGTTCCTTAGTATTCATCTGTGGAACTGGACTATCTTAAAGGAATAGTACACCCAAAACATGATTAGCCTTCATTTTCTACTCACCCCCATGCTGAACAACACTCTGGAGTACTTTTTTGATATCTCAAATGCATCTGGAGATCTGGGAGGCTTCTTGCTGTCTGCTGACATTCAAATAATGGAGGTCCATGGCGCCCGAGACAGAAAGGTCCATAAAAGTCCACAAAAACGTGTCAATATTCCTCCATACTGCTCGTCCAATGTAATCCAAGTGTCCTGAGTGGGTAGCATCCAGAATTTACTCGAAACGAAGTCATTTAGAATGTTTTTAGAGCATAAACAGTAGTGTATAGGATTTCCTAATAGCGCCCCCATGCGCGCTCACGACGCTACGGAAGCCGGCAGACCAAACCGGAAGAAAGTGCGCATTCAGCGTCTGGTCTGCCGATAATGCAAGCGTAGAAGAAGAAATGTGCTGTTTACCTGTGCAAAGAAAGAAACAACGAAAGAAAAATGTCTGAGGACTTCAGTGTTGAGGAAGAGCATGAGTTCTTTGCCGAGCTGAATGCGCTGGTTTGGTCTGCCGGCTTCCGTAGAATCGCGAGCGCGCATGGGGGCGCTATTAGGAAATCCTATACACTACTGTTTATGCTCTAAAAACATTCTAAATGACTTCGTTTCGAGTAAATTCTGGATGCTACCCACTCAGGACACTTGGATTACATTGGACGAGCAGTATGGAGGAATATTGACATGTTTTTGTGGACTTTTATGGACCTTTCTGTCTCGGGCGCCATGGACCTCCATTATTTGAATGTCAGCAGACAGCAAGAAGCCTCCCAGATCTCCAGATGCATTTGAGATATCAAAAAAGTACTCCAGAGTGTTGTTCAGCATGGAGGTGAGTAGAAAATGAAGGCTAATCATGTTTTGGGTGTACTATTCCTTTAACCGGCTAATAAACCACCAATCATCTATCAGCAGGGTAGCAAGACCCGCCTCTCCCCTCACTGCTGATAAAGGTGATCAAAATTGGCTATTTGAGTCAGATTTAGAGAGATCACCCTGTTTTACTCTCAGAAAACTGCACTGGCAGAGCTTTTTTTTTTCCTCATAGGGAAATATTTCCATTTTACAAGCATATTTGTAAGAAATACAGCTGCAGAACTGGAATTAATTATTTCAATCAAATGACCAACTTACAGTATTGTTTTAACTTTTTAAATATGATGTAAGTAGTATTACTGAAACATAGCATTGCCAGAATGGAGGGTTTCATTGGTAGAGGTGGCAGTAATTCACTACCACTGGGACAAACAGTTCTCCTCTAAACCAGA